TATTATTCCCAACGCTGTGGATACTCGTTCACAACTGCTACATAAAGCAACGCAAATATGAAGTTTGTACCGATACTATCTCAGCTGTGTGCTTTTAGGAATAAACTGTGGTTTGTCAAGGAGTGATTCAATCTGAAAAGATCGGACAGGCGTTAATTGAAACAGTATTGTCACTCAAGGACTGCATTAACAAATATATTTAAACTAGAGAAGTAGATCATTCCCTAATCAGATATCAGAAAATAAATTTTGTTAATTAAGAAAAATCAAACTCGCTAACACGGCTAATAAACCAAACTTCTACACATTCTGTGATTCACTAAAATGAAAACAAAGCGGCCCACTAAGAACATTAATATAGGTGAGTGGTCCAATTACTTTTCATGATTATTTTCAGATTATGTTTCTTTTATGATAATAGAAGCAAGTAACGGATGTTACTAAGGTTACATTACACATTGACATTCACCTTAATATAAACTTACTCGATAGTTTTGCTCTCGAAATTGTCAACTGTATCCTCTGTTAAGCAACTTAATCTACAGTTTATAATAATTTTTAATAGAGGATCATATTCCCGGCAATAGTTAAGAGGACTGATCGTTCCATTTTACAAAATATTCATATTAGTGTCTATAACCTTTTTGCCATCTATCACTACATTTTAATGGCATTATTTATTACAGATTATTTAACTGTCAGGGTTGAGAAGCGCTGCTTTTGACAGGAGAACGGACTTGTTTCGGATAGAATTATTCCCTATATTATTAGTATAACAGTAAGGCCAATCAGTGAGAAGCTTCTTTTTTTCATGTGAAATTCAAACAGTGTATATAATTATGCTTGACTCGTCTGGTATCGAGCCGGTCAGACAACCTTGGGTTTATTTGTAATTCAGCAAACTATGGAATTTTTGATCGCATTTTGATGTCCTACCAATTCTATGGTCGTGAGGTTTGGGGATTCCACAAAGAATTGAACATGAAGTATGTCGCATTGTCATAAAAGGTATACTGAGATGCACATACCTTACTGTCCAAAATGAACTGGGACTCTATATATATGATACACAGTTGTAGCATAATACGTATTATCATATACTGATTGCATATTGACAATGTCGTGTTGTCATCTGGTTCACAATTTTAGACAATCGAAAAGGAGTAAACATTCATGGGTTCAAGATTCCAAAATGTTTTCATTTTAATCCGGAATGGATGAAGCTTGGTTTAAGGAGTGTGTGTGCTGTATCGTTTATTAACTTTTTAAAACAAGGCGTCGTGATAGGGAAAAAGAAACTTTGGATGCAAATTTAAATCTATTTCAAAATCTATATTTACATCAAAGACTATTTGAAGAGGGTGGGTAAAATGAAGTGTTTATACCCAAGTATTCAATTAGTGTATGGCAGTAGACAGATAGGCATATTTTTTCCAGTAACAGGATCATTCTAAGACATTTAACTGAATATACTCACGTTACAAGCATAATATTTTCAAACTTTTGAATTGAGAAGTAAACATATTAATAAAATATGGATTATAATTGCATTATATTTGAACTTTTGATTTAAATTATTTAAAATCACATAACGGTGTATGGAATGTCAGGGTATAGTTGAGGCCGACAGCGAGTCTGCGCTCAACAAGTCACATGTCACATATATTACATTATTGCAAGCGTTTAATCGCAATATTTGAAATACCTGGCGAAATTGATGCATTGCAATAGCCTACAGCGGTAGAAATGAACACATACAGCAGACACGGTGTCTGCTACCCTGGTTACTCTTATAATTGATTTGCCATGTGGATAAATTAAATTTTATTTTAATTAAAGCTAGCGGAAGCGTTTTAATGGCCAAACTTATAAGTTGTCAATTACAGAGTAACGTTCATTTGATATTAAATTCGCGTTTTCATAATATTTACTGACAGTGGATGGTTAATTGGTGTCATGCTATGCCTGTATATCTTTTCAAGATTTGCAACTAATTTTTGTCGATATTTAGAATTATATTCCAAAAGAAGGCGTTGATATCAAAGACTATAATTTGTATAAAACAGTTCTCCAAGCCTTAAGAACGTTAATAGTTTATGGATGGAGTATTTTTTTTATCTTGTTTTAACATGGAGAGATAATAAACGAGAACCTTGTTGTGTTTTTGAGGATAATTTGTTCTCCATTCGGTTGAGAGTAGAGACAGATATATGTCTTTACACTGGGGACCGGGTACCCTGTTTATACGAATTTATATCTAATGTAGTTTATTGTAGTTTATTTTGATTTGTATTATTTATAGTTCTTATGTTTCGTTTCTATGACAGTGAAACAATGATGATAATGATGTTACCACGAGAATGCCGAAAAATGCACCCTTTAGACAGTATTGGAACACTATCCATCTATCCTCCAGATGCCTAGTGACACATGGGGCCTCCACCGAACGTCTCCATTCTGTCCTATCAGCTGCTGCAACTCTGGCTTCCGCCCATGACTTCCAACCAAACTTATTCCTTTCCTTCTCAACAATACGTCGCCAAGTTGTTTTGGGTCTACTACGTTTCCTTTTCATTTCTGTGACCCCATGTCAATGCTGTGTTGCATACACTTGTAGAATCTTGTCTTATGGTGTGCCCAATAAATGTACATCTACTCTTCATCACCATAGCACTCAGTTTCTCCATTCAAATCCTAGTTAATAGTTCTTCAGTCCTAACATGGTCTTGCCATTTTACCTTCAATATCCTCATTAAACACTTTGTTTGGAGAGTATTGAGTTTTCCGTTGTCGCCTTTCGCCATCTTCCAAGTTTCAGATCCATATAACAGCAATAACAACATCAATGATTTGTACAATTTGAGTTTAATTGCACTCCTTATGTTACTGTTCCATATTTTATTGAGCTGCACGAATGCATTTCTCCCATTTGAAATTCTGTTTTCCATGTCTCCCATTCCTGTTTTTGTCTTATTATTTTTGTCAATGTAAACACAGTAAATGTCATATATGTAAGTTTGTAGTCATCGAAAGTACATTGCGTTACTAATGACGTCTTTCTTTACATGACGAACTGTTTATTATAGGTTATTATAGTATAATTTATTACTTTTTACTTTGATAGTTCATTAAATATGGCAGTTGAAACAATATAACCTGTCTGTTAGCACATGCTTATTCGATTACACTGCACAGTGAATACAATCACAACAAGATGTATAATAATAATGATGCCAGAAAGTAAGCTCTCAGGCAGTACTGGATGACATCGACCAGTACAGCCAGTTGCATAAGAGTTGTAGCTAGTGCATCGCTTTCGAGTGTAACTTCACGTGTGACTGTAAGTATCCTGAGTACATGCAGGATTAACCATATTGGCACGTACCGAGATCTATAATGTGAACCCGGTAAATGTCATATGTGTATGTTTGTAGTTAGCTAAATTACCTTGCGTCACTAATGAGAACGTCAGCGTATTATATAAATTGTTCATATTGAGCATGGATACGCCACTTGAGGCCCGTTGCCACGCAACGCTCGCTGTGTTTATCTTGTTAATTTTTGATACTGTACAGGAAGAGGTGTCGTCATCATCGTTAACCGTGTCACTGAGTTATTATATTGGCCTGCACTGCGCAACTTGCAATAATTTACTGCGTTTTTGATCGTTTTTACGCATACATTGTGTTTTTCACAAGTCGACAGATCATTTATCAATAATTAATGTGATGCAGCATATCCTCTACCTTTACTGTTATTGAATTTCTGAACGAATTAAAAAAAAGTATTATGTTCTGGTTCATATATATCATAAACAAATCTCTATTTTAAGATTTTGATCCATGGTGACAATTGTATTTGGTGTAATTGGCTGAAGTCATTGAAGTATGTAGGCATGAAGTATGTTATAATTGTTTCAATTTTAAAACATATTCTACGTGTTGTACGTATACGAAACTCTAGTCTACGTGTTGCACGTATATGAAGCTCTAGTCTACGTGTTGCACGTGTACGAAGCTCTAGTATACGTGTTGCACGTCTGAGAAGCTCTAATCTACGTGTTGCACGTCTAGGAAGCTCTAATGTACTTGATGCACGTCTAGAAATCTCTAGTCTACGTGTTGCACGTCTAGGAAGCTCTAGTATGCGTGTTACAAGTCTCCGATGTTGCACGTTTACGAAGCTCTAGTTTACGTGTTGCAAGTCTACGATGTTGTAGTCTACGTGTTGTACGTCAACGAAGCTCTAGTCTACGTGTTGCACATCTCTAGTAGGAAGCTCTAGTCTGCGTGTTGCACGTCTACGAAGCTCTAGTCTACGTGTTGCACATCTACGAAGCTCTAGTATGCGTGTTGCAAGTCTACGATGTTGTAGTCTACGTGTTGCACGTCTACAAAGCTCTAGTATACGTGTTGCACGTCTAGGAAGCTCTAGTCTACGTGTTGCACGTCTACGATGCTCTAGTCTACGTGTTGCACATCGATGAAGCTCTAGTATGCGTGTTGCAAGTCTACCGAAGTCTACGATGTTGTAGTCTTCGTGTTGCACATCTACGAAGCTCTAGTCTACGTGTTGCACATCTATGAAGCTCTAGTCTACGTGTTGCACGTCTAGGAAGCTCTAGTCTACGTGTTGCACATCTACGAAGCTCTAGTCTACGTGTTGCACGTCTAGGAAGCTCTAGTCTACGTGTTGCACAACTACGAAGCTTTAGTATGCGTCTTGCAAGTCTACGATGTCGTAGTCTACGTGTTGCACATCTACGAAGCTCTAGTCTACGTGTTGCACATCTACGAAGCTCTAGTCTACGTGTTGCACGTCTAGAAAGCTCTAGTCTACGTGTTGCATGTCTACGAAGCTCTAGTCTACGTGTTTTACGTATACGAAGCTCTAGTCTACGTGTTGCACATCTACGAAACTTTAGTCTACGTGTTGTACATCGATGAAGCTCTAGTATGCATGTTGCACATCTACGAACCTCTAGTATGCGTGTTGCAAGTCTACCGAAGTCTACGATGTTGTAGTCTACGTGTTGCACATCTACAAAGCTCTAGTCTACGTGTTGCACATCTACGAAGCTCTAGAATACGTGTTGCACATCTATGAAGCTTTAGTCTATGTGTTGCACGTCTAGGAAGCTCTAATGTACTTGATGCACGTCTACGAAGCTCTGACGTACTTAGTGCACGTCTAGGAAGCTCTAGTCTACGTGTTGTAAATCGATGAAGCTCTAGTCTACGTGTTGCACGTCCAGGGAGCTCTAGTCTATGTGTTGTACATCTACGAAGCTCTAGTATGCATGTTGCAAGTATACGATGCTGTAGTCTACGTGTTGAACGTCTAAGAGGCTCTAGTCTACGTGTTGCAAGTCTATGATGCTCCAGTCTACGTGTTGTACGTCTACGAAGCTCTAGTATATATGATGGGAATAAACGGGTTAGTTTACGACGTTGTTGAAAATCCCATCCCAAGATAATATCCAGATACTAATACTGTGGGCATTCAATTTTCGACAAATTTCTAATCTTTCCTTAGATCAAAAATCGTATCACTGGCATACCATCAGTACGTTACGAGTGTGACAAGTGATTTAATTGTATCTAAATTGAAACCTGATAATACACATTATATTATTATGTTATATTACTTGTGTTGTAACGATGTGTCAAAATGATGATTTTCTGTGGAGCACGTCTGCGTCTGTCTTCACACTTAATCCTATGAATATTGAATTCAGGCAATCATGTCTTAAACTATGACGTCAATAAATCATTCGTTGTCTCAGTATTACATTTCTGATCAGATGCCAAGGCTTATCGTTGACAACTTATAGGTCATCGAACTTTAACTACTCTGTGCATTGCCAGTGCTGACAAAGCCTTCGAATCGTCGTTAACAATATACTAGCACACATTCACGGGCATTTGAAACCAAAACCATCTTATGACTATAAGGCGTTGATTGGTTCCTGAGTTCTAGTTTCTAGGTTCTTCGTGTAATTAGGTGTTCGTATGTAAGGGATTTTCCACACAAAAACGAAATATCATTGACGGTTTGGTAGATGTAACGATATTCACGCTGGGTTGGCTAAGCTATGATCGGGGACAAAACACGACAGACAAACTCAGTAAAAAGATGTATAGTTAAGACTATGCGAAGAAACAGCTATCTCCACACCCAGAAAGCCCCAAGAAAATAATGCTAACTCTGCCATCCGCACCCCTAATAAAGAATGGTATACCCCTTACATAATTAGAGCTCGGCGATTTTTATGGCATATATCATGTCACATTGGAATTGGGATAAACATTACACGGTGATTTATAGTGATTCGAGGAGTAAGTGTAATTAGGCCAACGTGTATTTTAATGGTTAGACTAACATGTGTATGTACAAACGTATGGGACACGGCGTCAGCTGTGCGCATGCGTGTGGGATGACATAATTTGTATTTTTTGAGCCGATTGCAGACGAAATCGTTTGACTGGCGCCTCCTATTTTAATTGGATATATCGATACTGGTGATTCATACCGTATTAATCTGTAGTGGACGTTTGACCTTCGCCCAAATGTAAACGAGTTGGTGGATAAGTGAAATTTTCGACGAATTGCTTCACGGTGAAAATATATACCACTACAATACCATGTCTCGTCCACTGTCATCGATTTCAGTGTAATGTTATTTCTTTCAGAAACATATAAAACAAAAACATATTCAGAAGAATTAGTTGATCGATACGGCATCGTGAAATACAATTGCAAATGCAAAATGGGCGTCCTCTCTCGGCTGCAGCCCCAATTCACGAGTGATGCGGAGAACTTTGTTAATTTGTATTCTCTGCTTCAACTATGACGTACATGAAAACAAACATTAGTAATGTGTTTGCATTGTGCCTAATGTGGCGTACTTTGAGTCGCGATGCGGCTTTATTTGAAACATTTGCGTAAAACGAATGTAATATTTCGGGCCGGATCAACTTTGTGTCTTCATTTGGGATAGATCTTCACATTTCACTCAAACCACCTCGTGATTCAAGTCAACTGCTAAGTGTGACGGTATATCACGGAACTCACAAAGATCACGAAACAATTACGTTGTTACGACTTACTGCAATGCGGTGTAGTGTCGCGTTGAATTTTCGTTCGATAGAATAACCACGGAGTTCGATAGAGTTATAAGCTCCCAACTGACTACATGTTTGTTAATATTATTGCTAATTGTGACCACAAAAACACACATTTTATTACGGTTCTAAATGTTTTTATATCGATTTAATTTTTAAAAAATCCTGTTAGATTTAGATGTACAATATTTGTTACTTTTAACTGCAATCTGCTTTTTACAGTATATTATTTGTCCTTTAGAATCCAAATGAGGTATATATTATACCGATTGGTCAAAACGCTTTGACTCGGGGTCAATAATGAAAATGCAGTGATCGAGATTTCGTTATTGCGCATGTGCAGTTGTTGCGTTTAAAAAAACACAAGATAAAAATAGGTAAATGTCCAGTTCAGGTTGTTCTAACATGTATTGTGTTTATTCACTCGGTGCGATAAAAATACAGTTACCTCAGTGTCGGTCATTATTCAGTTTTAATGACCCACGAGGAAATATTGGGCTCCAGTTCGGTAACTATTTGTTTAATGCTAAATGCCTGTCAAATTGTAAATAACGAAATCGTAAAAATACGTGCATAAATAAAGCTTGTTTGAATTTGGTTAAGTAAATGTCGGAGTTGTGTCGAGTGGTCTTCAGTTGCGCAAACTAGGGAATTGAGAGGTTATGTTATTATTATATTTCCACTCAAGCTATCATTAGTGCACAAGTTTCTGTTTGTTCACATCTGCCAATCATATTGGATATTGTGCCGTGAATCATGAATTGACTTTTAACATTATTTTTCATGAACCGATCTTTGCCTGATACATTTCTTTTTTTTTATCTATAAAGCTTATAGTGGAAATATATGTCCTTCCGGTAACATCATTGTGTTCATTTCTCAGCGAGCCGGGTTTGATAGTAAGAAACACATTCAATGTTGACGTGAAAAGCGCTGCTATGGTAACGGTCAGCTTTTGTATTTATCTCGATTTGCCGTATGCCAATCAGATTTCATACCAAAACGGAAATCCTTCATATACCGGTTGTTGTATGAAGATATTGGACCACTTATCTACTTACAGCGTGCCAATTCCGTTTCATTATTTGACAACGTCGTTCTACGTCCATACGCAAATAATAAAGCTACAGCCGGTGAGTGAGACGATCGACCGGATATGTTTGCGAAACGTTGATGGCGCGGAAGACTGAATGACTAGTAGCATTGAGTCGATTGAACGCGTTCACTATTTAGCTGTTACTTTGAGATACGCGTACTAAAATGATATATATATGCCTCAAATATTTTATTATATAGAAACATTTGTGACATTAAAGTGCATGCCGCATTGTTCTTTTCCTTAATGGCGATGCGTTTAGATTTCAGGAAAGTGTTCATAACTTACATCTATTACGGGTAGGTGTTAGGAGTAAAGTAGACTGTCATGGATTTTCCGCCCGCGATAGCCAATCATGTCGTTTCGTTTATAGACTCAGTCCAGTGATGTCGTCGACCGTAAGAACACGCTGGTATCATTAGTGCCGATTTTGAAACAAGCAAATGACAGACTGCAAATGTTAAAGTGGACAACTAATTCTTTCAGTTTAATGAACGGAAAACTGTGTATAATGCAAAACGGCTGCACGCCTTTTCAAGACACCTCCGTCGATATTGACTCTTCGTTAACGGCGCTTCCACGCGTTGTTATTGTAATATTGTATTATGGGTATTTTTTCAATCACATGTTTCAGTGAAAGTACCACGTGCATCGTCGCAGTTTGCAGGCGTTGACAGTTGACTCACCGATGCTGTGTTGTTCATTGGCGTTTAAAGCCATATCATACGTTAGCATTAGACGTTGATCTGCCGATGTTTTCCACTTGATAGGACGTGTTGAATTATAACGGTTATATATCTGTAATTTCATATTGCGAATTTGTTGCTTCCGCTGTAATTCAATAACTCGCATCGCTAGGTGCAGGTGGCGGGCTTCGTTCTTTCCCGTCAGAGAATCGACATTGAATCGAAGCCAGCTGCGATGCACGTCCGAATCAATTACGGTAATATTTAAGTTGGTCAGTCATTTCAACTCTTAGGTGTTGCATTTCGCGTCGCTACAAGCAAACGTGTCCAATCCGGGGTATAACTGTAATAGAGACTAAAGTCGACAATGCGCTCTCTAAACCAAGCAGGAATATTATTGAATGTTCAGGACTAGTACAGCGCCATAGATCTGGTCGTGTGGGGACACTGTTATTTGTTGTGCGACGAAGGACTGACATATTTAGTAATCGCTTCCACTGAGGTTGCCACGCACGGTTTTGGGTCGTATTTTATGCAGCTTTCCGATTCAGCCTTCGCTGTTCCATTCACGTCGTTTCATTGGAAACCATTTGAATTCAATTTAATCACCCGTCGTTCGCCGCATTCAGTGGTCGCACACTCTCAACGTTCACCCCCTTTACCGACAAAGAGGGGTCTTCACATAAAATAGAACATGTTGTGAGAACGTGGATTCCACAATAAGTGATTGTACGCTGCCAATGCTCGGAAACTATTTTATGAAGAAATTTGTCGCCAACTATCGAAAGAAGAAAACGCCAATGAAAGGTAAGTTTGATTATAAATGTCAGACTATTGGTGGATGTGTCAGAATGTATACAGTCTATATACGCTGATATACATTGATGCCATCCACCTTAAATCTATCATATTTTTTGTTGCGATAGTGGCTGTCATGACAACATCGTGAAGGTACAGTAGACTCCCATAGGACTTCCCCCATCTATCGCAATAACACTGTTCAACGAATCATCACGGAAGCTTGCATGCCATTTTAAAAGATGCACACCAATCAAATCGTACTCAGGGGATTTTATGGGATATTGTGTTATTGTGAATCAAAATAAAACAAAAGCGGAAAACGACAAGAGGCTGGGTGGAGATATGGTTTGATTCCCGCACGTCATGTACAATTTAAGGGTGCCCTCTTCAAAACACTTGAGTCGCACCTCGCTCTATTGAGAATATATTGACCAGGTCTGCTTTACATCAACTTGTAGCGGCGTTGTCGGTTCTTGTTACTATCGTGACCGCGCATACATTTATACGCACTTTTACTAGGTGGGCGGTTCGTTGAAAGATAGGGGATGCTTTTTCAACACTTCACTTTCGATCAAAATCATGACTTCCTCTACTTTGAAAATCGTGAACTTCAAACTCGTTTTTTTTTTTTAAATAATGAACTTGAAAACGTATACTGACTGCATATGAAGCGTATATGAGCGTATTAACACTGCCATCGGCTTTGATGTGATCAATGATGCGACGAGTTGCCATGGATACTGCCATTCAGTCGTTGCATAGCACGTGTTTAATAATCATTGTCATGTATGTGCGAAGTAGCTTGTGTTAAAGCGTGTTGTTCCATGTATATTCTTGGCAGTTGAGAGAAATATACTTTCGCCCACACGTATAACAAGTTGTCCATTTCACCTACCTATATGCGAGAATGGTTGCGGCTGTTCTGTAAATGCATTAATTAATCAGTTATGTATTGTTAATTGCGCTGCTAGTCGGCGAAATTCACTAAAATAAAACCGTAAACGAAATTCTTATATCTCACGTTTTTACCATCATTTCAGGGAAATGATACTTCAATATGCAAACGTTAAATATTTAAATACACATACCTGTGAAGACGTGTTTTACAGCATCCGATCGTCACGACACGAACGTACATGTAAACCAAATACATCACGTATTAATAAATAACATCGGATCTGTCACCGCACTGGCACTGTAAGCGTGTAAAACAATTCATCATCTCAGCTCACTCGAAATCCAAGGAGATCGTAAATTTAAATTATTATGGTATTAGAAACGTAATTGTCACTGTGACGACCACGTGCGACCTGCATGTCATTGCATGCCACCATGTTCTAATTTCGTCGAGGCAGGGGCTCGTAAAAAAATGTATATTCTAGAGAGGTATACAACCTGACTTTGCTTGGTTGTTATATAATATATACCACGAAACAGTGGGCACTAACTAGAAAGTCACCGCACTTCTTACTTTGGATACGAAGCTTCAGGGTCATGTTTCCAGCATGAACTAGTTTTTGTGAATTTAGTAAATAACAAGTAGATACAAACATTTCCGAAGTACATTAGATACTTATTTTCACAGTTGACAGAGAAATAAAAACGCCTAAATACGGAAAGAAATTGAATGAACTAATCGATATGCACTTACCAACACCATGGGTTCATTGTGCCACAGATGTGTTGCACATCGATATGTGATTGAAAACAGAATCACTGACAATGTATTTGGTTCTTCAAGTAGCATATGCTTCACACAATGTAAACGCTGTACACCGTATCTTAAAGGTTTATATTAAATGTGAAAGTGTGTTCAATGGCATAGACCAATAAGGCTTAGTGTAGTAATACATCATTTTCACGGTATATATATTGATGAAATATATCGCTGTTTTAAAAAGGCATGTATGTCGTTGTCATCACAACGTTTGGATTTCGAAGTACTCAGCAAGCATTACAGCCATATGAATAAGTTCGAGTCGACGTCGGGTTAACGTTATCTCAGTAAATATCAACATTCTTATTCAAACCACTCATATGGTTTTTTGTTCAATATTGTTACAATTTCAACGGTATCTGTCACACTGTAGTTCCAATTCAACTACGGTTGTAAAGCGGTTATTGGTACTTTTAACACGTGTTATGCCGTTCGTTAAATATTATTCAATAATACAATTTGTATATAATTACCAGAATAAATCTAAATATGATCAAAACAATTTTCACACAAATCCTAAATATGAACATTAGCTCAGCCACATTACAGTATTTTCATGTCCCCGATAATGTTCTATATATTGTACTAAAAGGCAGTTTGTCATACTCACTGAAACCAAAGTAAATATGCTAATTGGAGCTGTAAAACACTTATATATATTTCTGTTACTAGGCGACAATTGTTATTACTTATATATTGTAATATAATATTTAACAGTTGTTCAATATACTTGCAGTTTCCGTCATTAGATTTCGATATGTAATGTATGCTATAATTTCTGTTTACATATATAACATAAAAAGCTATGGATATTTTAATAACCATTAGCCGTTGAGCAACAGACGCGTGTATATTAACACTGCATCCAAACTGCCAACAGCGTTTGCAAACATGTTCTAAACTAATACATTTTACGCACCATTTCTAAACTCCGTTTCGGAAGATATTGATTTGAGTGGTGCCTGCACAGGATGACTCCACAGTAAAGTGATACAAGTAGTTCTTTTAATAAGTAGCCACAGCGAGCTAATATATGGTATATGTCGGCTTTCATCTTGTAAATTTCCACTCCATTTCCCCCTTTCCAGAATGGAAATAAACGCAGGGTTTATGTGTACGTGAGTGCCGTGATGCAATTCCTAGACGTAGCAATACAAATAAAATAATGTTTACACATTTTTTGCAATTATGAACACTTTAAGTACAAATTGGATAACTGTGATTGTATTGCCGGGCAACGACACAACGCAATACAACGTGGTGTATATCCTACTAAAATTATTATAGATATACAAATAGATGAGCAAGATGGGGAAACATTACTTGTTACACTACATGATGTTGTTATATTCACTGCTATTCATTTCAAGCCAGAATGAACTGGTTTCAGTTAAGATATATTCACAGGAATCTGAACCACAGTGAAGCATCATGTTGTTCTGTTATTGTCAAGTTTCTAAAGGATTTGTTTGTATGCAATCACTAAAAGTATTTCTTAGTTGTTTGTGAGCTTGTTCAATGGGGTCATTTGTCGCATATGATCTTGCCTTTGAATTAAGCTTCTTGTCAAGATCGTATAACTGTTTAAACCTGACCTTTATCGAATTTAATATCGGTATAAGAATTGATATATTACTTAAAGTGGGAAACATTTAATGAAAATAGGCAAGTCATTTTTACCCGAGTAATTGTATTTACTTAATGCAGACCGTATGACCGTGAAATTTTCTAAAGTACCCAGATGTCCATATCCCAACCACAACCACTACTAATTTGTGTTACATTTCTAATGTAACAGAAATTGTTTTTATTTATTTTACATACAGATGCGCACCTAAATTGGTTCAACTAGCTGTGTTCACCAACGCGCAATGATTACAAAAAACATATTCCGATTGGACAATAACTTTATTAATAGCAATTCGAAAATATAGTATAGACTTTCTATTTAATTGATTTTAAATTCCACATTCTACCGTCGCTCCCAGCACATAACACCCGTCACTAAACCAAAAGAGCGTGACTAACGTTTTAACATGAATGAAATTCACATTAAAGGATTAGAGAAAAAACACACAATTAAGAACTCAAGTTCTGAATATAGAAACACTATAGAGGATCAATACAGCTTCACATTTAGATTTAGAGGCGTTGTTTTGACATGGGAAGCAATGTCTTTAAACTTAATGGCCACGCTGCCATCTCCGAAATGTAAATAAAATCATCTGTGCAAAGCTATTAGACGTATCATGTGTTACAAGAACACGACACCTGGTATTCAATTTACAAATGCCCATAAATAACGATCTGTAGTACAATAACGTTCACATGAGTAGAATGGTGCAATATATGTGTATTTGATATTCAAACAGCGAGATAACAACTATAAATATTGGTTTTGTTCATTCTGACATTCCACAACCGAAACTGGATGCTTATTTGATTTTAAAACGATATTATCGCGTTGTATATTATCTAACGCTTACGTTGCACCAGGATCAGACTCATAAAATAGTCGATTAAGATAAGATTATGATGGTTGTCTTTAATTTATATGAGGAAAATAAATACCATAACTCTCGATTTTCAAAATTGATAAACAACGTGAGGGAACATGATCGACATGCCAGGTTCAATCATATACAATC